AAACCGTTTGTTTTAAGATGGTAGTGATACTCATGGTAGTGTAAACTTTTGGGGTAGTATACTCATTTCCTCTGAAATAATCAACTTCTTTGAAGGAGTTTGTTGTATAAATATGTAACTCAAAATTTCATTCATACTTTTAATTCAAATTTTTCTTGTCTAAAGTGACTAAATTCAGAATATTTTCAAACTAAATTTGACCCTTATAGTAGTTTCTTTTCCTATAACTTTTCTCATGGTGGCAGATAGGATATTGTCACTTGATTTTTCTATAACATAATTGCTGTGTGGTAAATCAATCAGTGCCCTGTATGTGCAACTGTTGAAAGGAAGACTCCCTGCTCAGACTCCATTTCCTTTGTCTTATTTGGTATATACAATGACATTTGTGACATTGGTATGGTGGTCTTCAAAAAGTTCTGTGTTGGAGAGACAAATGATGGGGGGTGAGGAAAGGAAAAAGAGGGATGGAAGGAAGAGAAGGGAGGCAAAGAGGGAGGAAGAAGGATTCATAGTTTCTTCATATAGTTTGTTTCTCCATTATTTTTTAACTGGTATTCCAAAATACTTTCCACTGAAATTTATCTAATAGGCACATTCAAATAAGTACCACTGATCTAAGATGAAGGTTACTGTAGCCCTGATGCCAGGAAAGTAACACTTTCAACATCTAAAGGAACCAAATTAACCCAGAATGAAAACACCTCTACTTCTAGGCCACGCCAACTGTGCACCTGAGAAAGATTGACAGGTAGGATTCACACAGTCAAGTGAGGGCTGACAAGGAATGAATCTAAAGGAGTATGAAAATGAAAACCAAATACATGAATCTTCAGTAATTCTAATTTATTTTCATTTGAACTTCAGAAACATTAAAACAGTCAAATTGTCTTCAATTTCTACTTTTAAAGAATGTTTACTAAGGCAAGGAAGGCATTGTGTGAGTCTCCTTGAACCTCTAAGCTTTGTATAGTTAAAGAAGCTGATGGGTTTGTGAAAGAATTGTTTTTGAGCATTGTTTTGAGCATACAAAATTTTCAAATTTAAAGGAGAATTGGGAGGAATACAGTACGTGGGTGCTGAAGAAGTTTTGCTTTTAACATACATATTCAAAAGCTAGTTTTTCATCCTTTTTTAGAGCATGTGCCATGAACTTGGTAGGAAATTCAACCAAATCATCATAATTGGTAGCCTGTTATTTCTGGTAAATAAACATGGGTATATATAAACTTTCACACCCATATGCCTGTATGCAAACACATGCGACCAGAAAAATTTCAACACATTTCTCACTTAGAAATAAACCTCATCTCCCGTAGAGGCACAGAGTATTCTCCAATTCTGAACTTTCTGAAGACCATTCATATCAGCGTCGCAAGTTTCATCATGTATGTCCCTAAATAAAACAAAAGTAATGGAATCCTAGCAGGGGCCTGAGATTTTACTAGTACAGCAAATGAGATTATTAATCTTATTCCAAATCTAAGCACTTGAAGGATAACCCTTTGTCATGAGATGTGTTCTCTGTATTTTTATGTTAATCTGTCATTTGCATATGCTCTATTGGTTATATGAAAGAACTTAAATCTGCTCACAATTGAAGAATGTGCTAGCTTTGGGTCTGAAACAAATGATGAATAAAGTAAAGTACTGTTGAACACTAGAGAAAAATGAGTCAATTTTTAAAAACAGAAAAGGAGTGTGTAGAAACCATGTCCCCATTTTATAAAATCAAGAAGGGGGTAAATATTGAGAAAACACCATCTTACCCAATAATATGAAAACAATAAAATTTGATTTTGTTTTTGTTTCGGCTTAGCATTTTTTGTTTCTTATCAAAGTTACCCACATGCCTGTTATCTCATTGTTTTATTGACATTCATCATTTTATCCCATGACATTTCTGCTCAAATATGTGTTCACTTCTTTTTTTTCTTTCCCCACTAGCTCATTTTGTCTCGTTTTATCTCATTGCCAGATGTGGACAAGGATGGAAAGGAAACCGATGCCATATCATGTCTAATCCTTCTACTGAAGACTTCAAGTACACTCAGAATAGTAGGTGGCATTATTACTAAACAAATGGCTTGTTTGTGGTTGCTCATAATTTTTATTGCATATTTACTTTTTTCATTGATTTAAAATCCCAGATATATGGATACTCCTGGGTATTGGATTAGCATTCCTGATGACTCACATCATAGTTGCGGTCTTGTGTTTTCTTGCAAACAGAAAAGTGCCAATAAGGTAAGTGATGCCTGTAGTTGCTGAATGAAATATATGATAGAAGAACAATTTTCTGCACCATTTCATCTGCTATATTTTCCTTTCACCCCATATTACACACAGGGAACTTCAATGTTTCCATTTTTATGAGTTTATTTTTCCAGGAAGAACATCGGAGCTATCTAATAATAAATCACTGTCTTTTTTTTTTTTTTTTAGTAAAAAGCTTGAAGGTTGAAGTATACTTTTCAGATTATGTTAGGACTTTTTTGGAAGGAACCAAAAAGGAGATAACATGACATTTTCACAGACTTCAAAGAGATGAGAGATAGGGCATATTATTTCTAGTGGTGTCCAGAGAAGCAGAAGCAGAACCGCAAAGGAGATCCTTTTTTGGCTGACACAGGGAGAATAGACTCTGAGCACCTGTGTTTTAGCCCAAGACTTTTATATACTGAGTAACGCACAAAACAGGCCAAGAACTGCTGCACCTGCAGGAACTCTGTAATTGGGCTCATGCATAACTCAGAGGCCCTCACAATCTATGGTGCCTTAGAGTTCTGGAAGCTTCCTACCCATCTCCTATCTTCCCATCACCAGTATGGGTTACAGGTCACCCCAATAATGAAAGTGATTAACTTTGTTACTAACTCAGCAAGATAGAGGTTCACAATAAGATTTAATAAAATTTTGAGAAATTAAAGAAATGCATTATCTCTTGCACACCTGAGTTTGTGGTCAGAAATTTAGATGTGCTGTAACACTGACATGTCACAAAGTAATAGATAACTCATCATTTTCCTTGGTGTCAACTTGCATGTTCTGCCTGATGAAGTCTCCTTAGATCTCCAGCCTGCAATCATTTTAATAAGCAGACATCTATCTTGATATCATGAATTAAGGCAAAGTTATTATAGAACGAGAGCATTCATTAGAAAAAAGAAAATGACATTTTTAATCCATTAATATTAAGAAGATCTTACTCATGTATTAGTTTAATTATTCTTTTTACATGCCTAAAATATGCCAGACAACGTGACTACAGAAATGAATAAGAGGCAATCTAGACTTGAAGGAGTTGTGATCTAGTGGAAGAAACAGACATATAAAGCACTAGGTGAAACACTGGCTGTGTGCTAGAGTACACATATGTATTAGTCAGGATTCTACAGAAAAATAGAAACAATAGGGGGGGGAGGGAGAGAAAGAGAGACTGATTTAAGGGATTGTCTCATGAGATTGTAAAGGCTGACAAACTTGAAACATACAGGTCAGGCTGGCAGACTGGAAAGCCAAGTATCTTGAGTCCAAAATCTGCAGGGCAAACCAGCAGGCTGGAAAATCAGGCAGGGTTTTTATGTTGCAGTCTTGAGGCAGAATTCTTTTTCTTCATAAGGAAATCTCAGTCTGCACTTGAGATCCAGCCACATTCTAGAGAGCAATCTGCTTTACTTAAAGTCTACTGATTGTAAATGCTAATTACGTCTAAAAATACCTTCAGAGCCACATCTAGACCAGTATTTGGCCAAATAGCTGGGCACCATGGCCCAGCTAGGTGGACACATAAAGTTAACCATCACTGAGAACAGTGACCTCAGCAACACTTTCACAGCACTTCTTACATAGTGTTATAATTTAGCTGTTTCCATGCTAGTCAGTCCTTACGTTTACATTCTCATTATGTAGCATTGTATGCATAATTTGTACCCAATGCATGATTATTGAAGATTATCTGTACTTTATTGAGGATTATCTATATTTTTCAGAATCACCAAAAACATTGTTTACATACATTGATTACATCCAAATAAATATGTTGCACATCAGGCTTCAAAACAAATCACTTTGCATGAAATCATTAAAGCCCTAAAGTAAGTTAGAATGTTTGGCTAAGAGACGGCTAAATAGAATATTAAATAACAGTGGCTCACCTTGAAAATAATGCCAAAATTTTGAGAAACACAGAACTTAATGTAAGCAGGAAATTGTTACCCTCTCTAAATAAACCTTAACCTTAAGATTTTTCATTAGATTTTATAAAAACTGTAGCATAGGAAGTCTTTCAGTGTCTTGAAAGACTTTTTTTATTAATTTTTTTAAAACATAAGATGGAACACTGTATGCTCAGACAATGGCTAAGCACAGGAACAACCTCTTAAAGTTGTTGTTAGAGGTTTGATTTCCTGGATTTTACTATACATTCCGTGACCCTCGTGTTAGCTACTTGCCACCTAATGTGTTACTTCAATTACAGAGGAAAGAAAGCAATTCAAACGGGCTTAATCAAAATAAAGGATTTAGTGTAAAGACACAGGATGTTTCCTAGAGCTCAAGGGTAGGAATGAATGAGTCAGGCCCCAGAAAGATCTGACCCCGTGGAATTCTTCATATACTTCTCATCTCTGCTTTTTTTTTTTTTTTTTTCTGGTCTAGTTTGTGATTCTCTCTCTATAGATAAATTTCCTCTACTCTCTGTCCCTATAACAAAATAGAGTTGCCTAGTGGATGAATGTATATGGGGCAGAATCCATAGCACACACATGGCTTCAGAGACTCCATACCAAAGAACTCTAGTGGTGAGGATGGGCAAAAAAATAAGTCCTTCTGGAAACTATCAGCTACACCTGTCCTTGTGGTCTGAAATGCACCTGATTCTTATTTTGGGCTCTTTAGAAGAAGCAACAAATATGGCAGCCTTCAAGAGTTGTTTGTAGTAAGAGAAAGTAGATTTGACCATCAAATCTATATCCATAAATCGAGATTAAAGGGTAAAAATAAAAAAGTGAGCCATTTATTCTTACCTTAACTGCAGCTAGATTATACTCATTGCTTTTCTATTTTAAACAGTATCATCTTTGCATGGAGAAAAAAAATTTGCAATAAATAACAATTTATTACCCTGCATTGGGGCACATATTCTTGAAGCATTGTACTCATTTAGTAAACACACTAATAAAAGTTAAAGATAAGATACATATTTTATTTAGCTACATTGAGAAATAAGGTATTTCTGCATGAACAAGTATTTGAAAAGTTTAGACAGGAACATTTTCTAAATAATTTCATAGGATTGTTAAGTCAGCACAGGCTCCTACAACAAAATCCCACAGTCTGGGTTGTGGAAACAACAGACATTTATTTCTCAAAGTTCTAGAGGCTGAGAAGTCCAAGATCGAGGTGCCGGCAGATTCAGTTCCTAGTGAGGACCCTCTTTCTGGCTTGCAGTTGGCTACTCTCTCACTGTGTCCTCACATGGCAGAAAGTGGAAGATCTAGTGTTTCTTCCTCTTCTTATATGGGCGCTAATCCTACCCTGGTGGTTCTTCCCTCATACCTCATGTGAGCCTAATTACTTCACCTCCTAATACCATCACTTTAAGAATCTGGGCTTCCACATATCAATCTGAGGGGTGGGGACACAAACATTCAGTTCATCCCAGTGTATGCAACAGTAGAAAGATTATTAAGTAGGAAATTATAATAAAAGATGTGAATGTGATCTTGAGCAAGTTTCATAATTCTACTTGCACAAATATTTATTAAGAGTTCCTTTGTGCTAGTCTTGAGAGGGTACAAAGATATATCCAATAAAAATCCTGCTTTCTAGTTCATAGTCAATTATAGTATAGGTTTGACTCTGATGGATGCAATGATAAAAATGTAAACAAAATTACCATGGGGGTAAAACAGAAGAAAGGAATGATCAGGAGAATGATGTTTGTTTATATTAATGTTTCTGATAATAAAAGAAAGAGAGGAGATTAGGATCCCAAATCCTGGACTAGCAGCTTATATCCTGATGGGAGGTACAGATAATTGTTTGAGATCCTTGAACAAGTGGCCCTAGCTCCCAAATAAAGTTATCTATTCCTATAATATTATATTCTCTCTACCAGACCTTTTCTCACTGAAAGCTCTTTGTATGATAATGTGGATCTTTGAAGGCAGAAGTTTAGCTGCTATTCAAGTTTGACATCCCTAAATAGACCAAACCTGGGTCCAGCAATGAACTTTTATCCTTAGCAAAAAACAAAACCTTGCTTACTTTATGCCTCAAGGCACACAGCTGTTTTTGCAGCTAGTGTCACTAGTGAGCCTGCCCTAGTCCCAGAAATGAATACTTATCCTTAGCAAGCTGGAATCACGCTAGCACGGCAACCAGGGTCGCCTCATGATGCTTGCAAAACCTTTGCTCTCTCCACACGGCCACGTGTGCATTCTCCCACAAGAGGTACAGCAGCTGTTTTCACAGTTTGAGATCCATGAACCTAAATCCCAAATCCCAGTCCCCTGTGCAAATATTGGCTATGTTCTGACAATCCTGCTAAATGTTAACTTTCAGCAAGAAAAAGAAAATTGAGAACAAGATTTCGAAATCTTATCCTTAAAAACATAGTTAGGTCACCAAGGTGATTCCTCCTCCTCTCCTTCCTCCTGGTCCTCCTCTCCCCCCTTCCTTTTTTCCTTCTTTTCTATTTTTAAGAGAAGCTTACACAGCCTACTCCCTGATTTTTTTCTTAATTTTTTCCACCCTTGTTTTCTTGCTCTGCAATGGTGGGTGAGGGGAACCCGCAAGAGAGGCCTCAAAGGAAAGAGAGCACTTTTTCCAAGCCAGGCATGTTTTTTACTCCTCTCATAAAACATTCTACTCCCTACTCTTTGCCCAGAGATTTCATGAAGTTAGAGCTCCTTCTTCAGAGTGAAATGAGAGGTATGCAGGGCCGGCCTTGATATATTACTTGAAGGTGACACATTCTGAGGAAGCAGCCCTTCAGATGGATGCATTAAGAGAGCCATAAAGAGGAAATGGCATTTGTATTGACAGGTGAAGGATGAAGAAACCTGGAGGAGATGAGGAGAGGGGACTCAAGAAATGAAAGAAAAGGTGGCAACTCTTGGCTTCAAAAATACTGCACATAGCTATGGAGTATGGGAAGGGAAACAAGTAAGTTAGACTTAGAAAAGTATGTTGTAGAGAGGTTGTTAAGGGCTTTGGGTGTTAACTAAAGAGATTTAAATATA